AAGGTTCTGTAAGAGATGGTTCTGCACTTGGGTAAAACGCAGAACCTTCAAAAGGTTCTGTCAAAATTTTTATCCTTTTTTTGAGACTTTGAACACATTTGGAGCATTTCGAACAAAACGCTTCATAGGCTCCAACGTTATTTCAAGGTTTCGTAGATTTCATACTCAATCGCAATGGTTCCGTTAAATTTTTTCATATATTTCGCATGGAAACACGAAAGAGTATATGGTTCTGCGCCGTACGGATAGTGGTCTTCCTTTCTTTCAATCATGCCGAGTTCAGTATTCGCGTCAGGATGGGCCTCATTAAGTCCACTATGAGAAGGCTCCCACCGAAAACATTAAAAAATTTCAACCTTTCCATGCGCCGAAGCCAACACAGTGCATTGTAGTGGCTAACTTACTTTAAGAGCTTTCTATCTTTTCACGACACTTTCATTTAGATTATCGAGGTCCAGGAACCTGAATATGTAGTCAGGTTTCCCCATCGAGTTCCCATTGGTCCGAAAATCGGTCCCTTCCAGTGTCAAAAACTGTGAAGTGATCTTTTTTATTTCAACTGCAGATAAAATTAGTAGATAAGTTTGATATGTTGAAATTTAATTAATATGTTGTTTATATTATAGGTTCACTCATATTAAGCTTTTAAGTAGACTTGATTCGAAAAAATAAGCAACTTTGTTTAGCTTAATTATTGATTCTTGGAAATATGCAATGTCGGGGTAGGTTTGATCTTATGGAATCTCATAAATTGGTGTAATCTTTTGTGTTCTAGGTTGATCTATATGTGGAATTTTAGGTAAGCTTGATCGTATGAATTTATTAAATTTTCTTAATATTGCTATTGTAGGTTGATGTGTGGATGCGGTTTTTAGGTAAGTTTCACCTTTTGAAATTTCATCACTTTTTCATTTTTTTTATCGTACGTTGGTTCAAGTGCGGAGATAAAGGGGTAAGTTTAAGCTTCCCAGACAGACACGACCCTTAGAAAATGCGTAAAAACGCGCTAGAAATCTGTAAAAACGCTGTTTTTACGCATCCCTAAAAATAAAACGACGTTTTAACGCACTCTTCATCCGTTTTTCACCGTACAATCATCGACGAATTCTTTCGTACTAAGAAAATCTTCGTTAACTAGCGTTGATTTAGCTCCTTTTACATTGATAAATGGGTTCAATTATGGACACCTTTTATTGAGTTAAAAAATATTTCGTTTTTCGATGCGATTCAAACAAATTCAATTCGTATTAACCGGTTCAGCTATGACAACGTTTTATTGCGTTAAAAAATATTTCATTTTTCGATGTGATCAGTTTTTCTATCCTAGCTTTCATGGCTCAGAAAATGCACTGAGCAGGAGTCCAATATTCACAAGGTAGATTTTTTATTTCAACTCCGGTCTCAATTCTGATGAAAGTTTCCTGTAGCTTATCGAGGTCCTGCACTCCAAATCCGTTATCAGTTCATACGTTACCCGTTGGAGTATCTGTTCAAAGGTTACCCACCTGGCTATCTGTTTATACGTTACGCATTTGGGTATTTGTTTATATGTTACTCACGTGGGGTATCTGTCTGTATGTTACCCGCTTGGGTATCTGTTCGTATGTTATCCACCTGGGTATCTGTTTACACGTTAGCCACTTGGATATACCCAAGTGGCTAACGTGTAAACAGATTCCCAAAAGTGTATCGTCTTAATAGATACCCAGGTGGGTAACATATGCCAATATGTTATTCGGCGTAGAAAAGTTAACGTAGATAAAAATCGGGAAAAGCGCACATTTTCATGCGTTAAGAACGCGTTGATTTGTAAACAGTAAAAATGCGTAAATTTGTAAATGGTATAAATGCGTAGATTTCTAATTGATAAATACGCGCTGATTTTAAACGCGTTCATTACCGTAGAGAAGCTAACGGAGATAAAAATCGTAGAAATGTGCGCTTTTCCCGATTTTATTTTCGTTAAAATTTCTACGGGTATTTCACCGTTTTTTTTTTAAATTTTGTCTGTCTGGGTTGTGAAATGCTTATAATTATTTTTTCCTATTTCTATGTTATAGATTGTTTCAACTATAAAAATCATCGTTGGGTTTCATTTAATCTTCGAGTGCCGACCACGGTATGCATACCATTTCCAGTGTTTCTCAAAATCCAAGAATGACATATATTCAAATCAATCAAAAGTAAGTGGACATAGTCTATAGAGCAATTTTCTTTTATCGATGTAAACGGTTACTCTATAGACTATGTTCATTTCCTTTTGATTGATTTGAATATCTCATTCTTGGATTTTGAGAAACACTGGAACTGGTATGCATACCGCGGTCGGCACCCGAAGATTAAATGAAATTTGGCAGAGCGGACAATTAGAAGAAGGTTTGGTGCAAATCAGTTTGTACGAAACTTTTTTTGAATTGCTTTTGAAAGGTTTTGTACGAAACCATTGCTACGGAACCTTTTTTTTTAATCGTTTTGAAGAGGTTTTATGCGAAATTTTTTTGGTTCGGTAAAAAACCTATTTTTTTAGAGTGTACACCCCTTTTAGCCCCCGTGCTCCTTTATATCATTAATAATGTTGGTATCATACATATTTGATTATTCTCATGAACTATATATATTCACATTGTGAATACACAATGTTTTGTTTGAATTTTGCCTTAAAAACAATATAATGATATTCATTCAGTAGCGATACGAAAGCACTAAGTAGTTATGCTTAAGAAAATGCAGCAGTTTATATTAAAAAAAAGTATCTATTTTGAGAATGAGCCGTTCTCATTATTCAAATGCCGTTATGGCATGCTTGAACGAGAAAAATGTACCATTCGTTTGTTGTCAAGATAACCCTCCCAACGTACATCAAGCTCGTTCAATTGAAACCACTTGGACTCTACTCGAACGAAAGGTGCATGAAAATAATTGGAAAGCAAAACATTTGGATTCATTGGCTCAAAGGATCAAACAGAAAGCAAGAACTTGACCAAAAAGTGTTGCAGGCTATGATCGAGGGTATTCGAAAAAAGCGTCGGGTTATGTGGCGAGACAGACTATATTCAGTTTGTTGAGTACTGTTTTTCGTAATATTTTCCGTGCTCTTCCTAATAAAAAAGACAGCTCTGTAGCTTGTAAAATAACTGAACTGTGGAGGTTGACATTTTTCCAGAGACTTTCGCGTCGCATGTTACACAAGTTCATAAGTGAATTCACTTTAGAAATACTGTAATGATCCATTCATATCAGTCAGTAGATCATTATATTTATTCCACGTTGATTGATACAAGCTTGTAAACGTTCTAACAGAGGACCCATATACAATTTCTTTTTCATTCGATAACTAGCATGATCACATGTGGCTATCACGGGTGTATTTGTATCGAGACCAAGAAATTGATGGTTAGCTGGTGGCCAATCGAAATTTTCTTCATTATTATATTTCAATCGTCCAGCACCATTTGATAGGCGAACGTCTAATTCAACTGAAGAGACACAACAACCATTTTCAACACTAAATAATAGACGATAAATATTTAAGATAAACATTGTTGAACATAAAATTTCTTTGGGTTACGCGTGGGCCGTGTGGGACATGAAAATTCGATGTCCTGTAGACCTCTGCTGTGTACACAAGAAACCACCACGAAGAATATTAACTGGTAACATTGACCATCGAAACATGATAAACAACGATGAAAACTAAAACTTTCAGAAACTTAATATATTGGTTTCCTTCTGTACTATGATTTCTGTTTTTTCATTTTGAAAATTAAAAATTAACGATGAAATTATCAAATTTTCAAGCGATTCTCGAGTGACAAACTACATATATTCAGCTATGACAGTTGCTGCAATAAAAGCGATTCAGAATATTGTTTCTTGAAATAAATATATTAATTCAGCCGTTCACACGTTCTACATGCTGAACAGTGATGAGAATAACGTATCTCACATATTTAACCGATTTAATATTTATTTCAATGGTAGTATTAACTACTGAAGATTCCTTATGGTGACAATGGGAACTGCAGTATAAACGCATCTTATTCAGCTTTGAATCTAACTTATTATTTGATTACACACCAATTTCATAAAAGAACTACGATATGGAAAAATAAATCTGCTAATTATTCGTAATTACTCTTCTCCAAAATAGTTTATACTATTTTCTTTTTTGACTTTCCGCTTTGGAATACTCATTTATTGGAATCAATTTCGCTTCATCGACCACTAGAAAATTAATCAATGATTTATTTGATTCTGACCATGTCGTTTTAGGCTCCCAATATTCATGATGAGTCTCTTAACTAATGATGAAGCGTCGTATTCGGCTTTGAATCTCACTGGTGTCAATTGAACACTCACGCTCAAGTTCTATCAGTCGTGAAGATGTGACGCTTTTATGGTCGATTCTGGCTGCCATGGGCTGAATAGTACTATGGGATTTACAGCTGAAATATACTGTTAGTAAACGTATCGAAAGGCTCCTAGTAGGTAGCGTGTAATCTAAAATGAAAACGTTTTTCGAAATCATCTTCATTTAGCTTCGTTTTGTGTACAAAGCGTTCGATGCTCTCCACAACTTCTTTTTCACATCGTTAATAGTGTCTATCGTTTCTTTAATCGAGTGATGTTTTGGTGGGAGTGATTTTTGCTGGATGGCAAGTGTCTTTTCCAAATATGAAAGTGCTTTGACATAGTCGCCCATTTCATCGTACACCACACCAATACATGCATAAGAGGTAGCCAAACCGGGATGATTGCAAGGTAGAGCTATTTCCAAGATTGTTTTCGCTGTGTCGTAATATTCTAGTGCTTTTGAGTAATCACCCATGCTGTAATATACCGTACCAATATTGTTGTAGCATGTAGCCCGATTGGGATGATTCAGAGGCAGAGCTATTTCTCTGATTTTAAGTGCTTTGCCGTAAAATTCAAGTGCTTTTGCGTAGTCACCCATGTTATCATACACTGAACCAACATTGTTGTAAGAATTAGAAAATGAAGGGTGATTTGGAGGTAGAGTTATTTCTTTGATTTTAAGTGCTTTATCGTAAAAATCAAGTGCCTTCGTGTAATTACCCATGTTGTCATACACTAAAGCAATGTTGTTGTATGAAGCACCCACGTTGGGATGACTGGTCGGTAGTGATTGTTCTAGTATTTTATGAGATTTTTCATAGAATTCTAGCGCTTTCACGTAGTTACCTATGTTGTGATACAGTGCAGCAATATTATTGTAGTAAGTAGCTGAATCAGGATGTTGTGGGGACAGAGCTATTTCATTGATTTGATGCGCTATTTCGTAATACTCAAATGCTTTTGAGTAGTTACCCAAGTTTTTATACACTTGACCAATGTTGTTGTAGGAAGTAGCCAATGCGGGATGATTCGGAGGCAGAGTGTTTTTCGAGATTTTCAAATCTTTTTCGTAATACTCAAGTGCTTTCGAGTAGTCGCTCATGTTGTCGTATACGGTGGCAATGTTGTTATATGAAGTAGCTAAGTCAGGATGATTTGGAGGCAGACTTTTTTCCCAAGTTTGACGTGCTTTTTCGTAAAATTCAAGCGCTTTCGAGTAGTTACTCATACCATAGTACGCCGTTCCGATGTTACTGTGGGAATTAGCCAATGAGATGGGGTTCAAAGGAATAGCCTTTTCGAATATTTTATTTGCTTTTTCGAAAAATTCACGTGCCTTCAAGTAATTGTCCATGCTACGACACACTTCACCGATGTTGTTGTAAGTAGTAGCCAATGAAGAATGATCTTCTAGAAGAATTTTTTGCTTGATTTCCAGGGATTTTTCGAAAAAAGAAGCCGCGTCTTTATAATCACTTTGGAACTGTTTCACTACTCCAAGATTGTGATAAATTCCAGCTCTAATACTATCTTCGGATGTCTGTTCAAGTAATTCAGTATACAATTATGCTGCCTTGTTGAATTGACCTATTTTGAGTAGTAGATTACCCAGCCGTGACCAACCTATCTTATCAGCATCATCTCCTTGAATAAATTCTGTGAGTTCATGGAGTTGTTCGTCGTCATCTGATGTCAGCTTAAGGTCGACTTGATAAATTGGATTTTTGCTGTCAAGTTTTTGAATATCCTCAATACGGAAAACTGTATGCATAGAGAAGAGAATTTCTTCTTCATCCCTCAAATAACTATGTTCTTGAATAAAAGCGAATGGAGTGGATGAAATGATGGGATCTATAGACATTTGAAACAGAATACCCACCATACCACAGTTTTCAATGGCACCTTCGGCAAAAACTAGGGAGACATCCCGATCTTTACTGGTGGAAAGAAAATTATTGAAGGATATAAGTCCTCCTTTGTTTTTCTTGAGTTTATCAAAATCAGCTTCAGATAGTCCTTGTCCCCGAAAAACTTGAAAATTTGCTCTATTATAAAGATTGCCCTGTTGCTTATATAGACTCTCAATTGTACGATGTAGATCACAAATGAAAAAAACCATTTTCATAATTGCTCCAGCTTCCAGTATACGAAGAGACCAGTTAAGCGTTCGATAGAGAAAATAGTCACGACTGTACCACCAAATCGATTTTTCTGGAGAGTAATCACGTCCGAACTCAGCAATATCTTTCAATTTAGTAGGATTTCCGATATAATTTTTATACCAGAATTGAATAAAATCATCCTTGGCTTGTTGACCATGCTGCATAGAAAGGAGAATTTCCTTGAACAATTGAGTGTACATAAAAGAAGGTTCCAATTGATCCAGATTTTGAATGGAACCAGCTTGATCCACATTGACGAAACTGAGAGAGATATCATCTTGATTGTACTGCTTATTGGCTGTTTTCAATGCGTTCCAGATGGGCGTGGTTTCCTCATATACGCCTTTAATTTTGTTCCAATTGTTGTTCCAGCTTTCGTGTGAAAGTTTGCAGTTGCCATAAATGTATATACTATGCAGTTTAGGAGTATCGTGGATGAGAGGTACTATTCTTTGACCCATAATATTCGATACAATGAGACATACTTTTCGGTCTTGGACGTCCGTAAGGAAATCGATACATTCATCACATTGTGTGAAGGTATGAAGGTCATTGGTTATGATTTGAAGCTGTGTGAGCATATTTTTATGATCTTCATTTTCTGGGTCGAAGTTGTCATCGATCCAAATGATCCAGTTATTTTTCGCCATGCGTTGTATGTGTCGCATAACTGTTGATGATGCTAATTGATGTGCTGTAGGAATTGTTTTTGTTTCGGGAGTATTCTGCTTTGATTGGTGCCCATTCATATTGCATACAGCTTGTCATGCAAGTAAAAGTTTAAAATAGAGAATAATGTGTATTGCTTTTTACGACACAAGTTTTCTATTTTTTGTTGACACTCGAGCACAAATTCTATTTTGTTTCTGCTAAAGATACGGTTATCAGCGAAAAATGAATAAGAAAAACATCAATAGCATTATTTATGATATGTCTACTCATCGCAATTTTCGTTAAATTTTATCTACTGTATGGTTTGACTGTCGATATATTGAAAGTCCATTCTTATTCTTTGTATAATTTGCTTCGTTTTTCGAAACAACTTATTTCTCTTTCTGATAAGGCCACAAAAGCAGAGACATTAACAGTCTGTTTTTTTTTAGAATTCTTGAGTATGGCATTCTTATTATGTGAACGGAATTAAGAAGAAAAATAAACTGAAATTGAGTTAAAGAATAATAGAGCAACAGCTTTTTATCTTGTTTAGTATTCCATCCACTATCATCAATTTATTCAAAGAGAAAAAGAAATCTATAAAAATGATTTTTCATCACAGAGATGCTTGGTGACTCCGTCTTATTGGAGTAATTATCTGTTATAAAAATTCAGAAAACGTTCAACTTATCTCTTGATGCAGAAGGCAAGAAGGCGGTGTGTCTGTGTGTTTCTTAATTTTGAATGATTTCAGCTATTGATATCATGCAGTTAATTCCAATTTGTATAAAATGAAAATCTTCGAAATCAATATCTTGAAAAACAACCATACCTACCTTTGATAGATCTCTACCTTGGACTGAATATGTTTTCGATTAGAAACGGTGGAATCTCTTTCAGATTAATTAGAATGTCCAGAATCTGAAGATAAGATGTGTCATTTCCAACTAAATTCTAGTAAGTGGATTTGTTCCCAATGTATTTATGCTTCTATGAATTAGTAAAGCGTAATCTATTTGTATTCCTGCTGTTCAACAGCAGTTTACCTTCGAAATCATGATTTTTTTATGTTGGAAAAATTATTCTTTTCTAATTTTGACTCTCAACAGGTGCGAGCCTTCAAAATAACAACCTAGAAAATGTTTTTTTTTCTTTATCTGCTTTTCACACGAGAGTGCCATGCAATTAATAAATGAGAAAAACTATTTCTTAATGAGTTCCTGCTGCTCCACAGCAGTTTACCTTCGAACTCATGATATTTTAAGTTGGAAAAAGTATTCTTTTCTAATTTTGACACTCAACAGGTGTGTGCCTTCAAAATAACAACCTAGAAAACTTTGTTTTTTCTTTATCTACTTTTCAACAGCACTTTCTAGGAATTTATAAGTTTATAAATGAGAACATCAGTTCATGTTTCTATTTCTGCTTTTCAAGAGCTATGTCCTTGCGTTTTTAAATTTATATGTAAGAAGAATTTTATCTAGTTCTGTTTCTGAACATGAGTGTATTGTCAAATTCATTAATATATAGTATGAAACCCATCTTGGAATTTGTGCTGCTATTGTGATGAGATTGTGGAAGCGTAGTCATTTTTTCTTTTGCTTTAAAGCTCTGAAACATGAAAATGGTTTTCTAAATTTTTTCATTTATAATCAAAGTCGAATGAGTGAGTTACTTGAGAAAACTCGGGAAATATTTATGTGTTCTTTGTAGAGTTTCACAATGAACATGAGTAACGCTGAGACAGATCGTAGTTGCTCTTCAACGGAAACAGTGACATTATTAACAAGGTTGTTTTTTCCAATACAAATAATCTCCTGTTAAATATATTGCGTTTCTCTCGACCGATACATGTTACTTCATTGTCGTTATTTTGTAGTAGATTTTTCATTATCATAAACATAAGTAATCATGTGTTCATCGTGTGGATACAAATCTTTACCGTATATGCTTGGCTTTATTGCATTACTCGAGATGTACTTAGGAATCGTTCGCATTATTATCTTTTTTCAATCCAAGCCAGCTGTGGATCCCCCCAATATTTTTAGTATAACGGTAGGGAGCGGCAGCCAGCTGGTCCAGTCGCCTCTACTTTTGAGCAATCAAGCAAAAGCTGCATTTGCCATTGATTGGATTGCATCAATCATACCAACTTTTATGGATCTTTATGTCACTCTGTTCATCCTACTTGCCTGTTGTAGTATATGTGCTACGTGCCATTGTGTGGTGGACACTCTCAAAATGAGAGATCCTAGTACTGAAGAATGTTGTAGTCTTTTCTCTCTAATGCGTAGTATGTGTGTGAATAAAGCGAATCACCGATGCGTATCACTTGCATGTAACTGTCCATGCTACATAGCACGACCCCGACTTCGTTTTCAAGTTCGTCTTGGTCTTTTGTCCTTCTTTATCTTGCTTCGCATTATCGCCATTATTTTATATGCAACGGACAAGACGGTGCGTATATACGGTGGATCCATGGCTTTCTTTTGCAGCATTTCCGTTGTTCTCGTATGCCTAGTAATGCTTATTGACGTTTACCAATACCGAGTGTGGTGGTACTATCGACCTGATGGAGTCTACAAGAAGTTCCGATGCTGTTGCTGTAAACAACGCTTTCATCGTAGCCATAGACATTTTTTCCAGCTCCACTACTTGGAATTAACCGAGAGGCCGGTCGACTTGGTAATCGGCCGTGTCATATAACAGTATCCGGTCATTGTTCGGATCTTTCACTAGAACACACTGTCATGTTTCACGCATTTGACTTCAAGCCTCTTAGGCGATATAAATCTGGAACGGATAAAACCTATATTGGATTTCATCAAACAAAACCTGAGTATGCTATAGGTATTGCTAAAACAGGCTTTCGCATTAGTAGTACACCGCCACAAATGCTTGGCTTTGGTGTTTACTTTGCTCGCTCTTTTAAAGATACAGGTGGCAAAGCACGTTCCAGCGGTAAATAATCTTAAATTGAATTGACTTTATCCTTATTACCATAACACACGTAATAATTTAGGTGCCTTCATCTGTGCAGAAGTTAATATGAAACGAGTTCGAGTTGTAAACTATTCCGAGCTCTGCGAGGTGCAAAACACAGATGCATGGTGGAATGAGTACGACACAATCTACTATGCTCATGAACAAGAAAATCGTGACGAATTCTGCGTAAAAGATCCAGCACAAATATTGAATTGGATCATCATAATTGATGATGATCGACTGCGCCGATATGGCCTTGATACAGACTTTAATAATACTTGTTGCAACTGCATTTAGCATGGCGTCAAAATCATGCTAACTAACAAAGATGATACATTTTTCAGATTTTTTTTCTGAACGCAGTTCATGTTGATCGTTATCATCCCAACATATTCTATATTGTTTTAATTGATTATTTCTCGTTGCTAAGTCATATTTGTTTTCTAAGGACATGCTTCTATTTGGATTTAATACTAAAATATATCGAGAAATATGCGAAATGTACATTTAATTTTAATAGATGGAATAGAATTCAACTTGAGTCGTATGAGAAAACTAATTATTTTAATCATATTGCTTACAGATGTATTATGTTAAATTTAATAATCTATGATTCTATTGTTCAATACTCATTTCTCTTCAAAATCAGAATAGTTCATTATTTGATGAATTATATGGTATCGGTTAGAATCTGAACAAGTAATATGAGTAGAGAAAAACAGTTGAAGCATGTGGTGTCGTGTGAGTCATCGCTCAAGTGATATTTCATACGCTTTACACAATGCACAGCACACTGGTATAAGTTTGTTAACATAATGCGTTCCCTTTCAAAGCTATACAAATTCAATACTTTTTGAGGATGTATGTGCGTGTCCTAAGTGTTTTCTGCTTGTTTATTCCTAAACTCACCAGAAGAGTACCGCAAGCTTCTTTCTTTGTGTTAGGGTTCTCGTTCACAAAGAGCGACGGACACTTTAAACGTGTGTGTTTTATTATCTCTCTGTTTATTCTTTTAGAAAACAAATGTTTATATACACACACGAAAACGGAGACAAGAAAATAGAGGGAAACGGAGAGAGAAAGGAAAAGACAAAAGAAAAGAGAATAGATAGAATCGAGATATACGTTACAGTAGAACACACCGTAACACTTTGAAATTGGTTAATTTATTCAAGATATTTTAGAATTCATTGATTATTATGATATTACACCATTACTGCATGTAATGAAAAATCATATCTGGGATTTATCTTAAAATGCTCAAGAACAGCTTAATGAGTTTCTGTAACGCACATCATAATAATACATACATATATATTTAATAGGAGACAAAATAAGGTATATTTTCAAAATTTTTCACAAAAGATTGTTGCAAATAGGTGATAAATGTAAAAGAATTACTCGAAGTTAATGAAATTTATCAAATTGCTTCCGGAAGCAGTGACACTTGCAAATTGTTTTTCATTATTATTCAATTCTTTATTAACAGTTTCTTCCGCATTATTTCTATCACCCACAAATAAGGGTGTGGGTGTGGGTAAAGAGGCTCATCATACCCATACCCATAGCCTTTTTGTATTATTGCTATAATTAACTAGCAGTACATCATAAAACTATCGGATATTCTTGGAAGTGTATATCGACTGTTTCGTAGAAAAGAACCATCATAGATAGCGAGCAGATATTGAGTATATTTTCAATTATTCCCAATAGATTTTTCAAATGAAGGGAAAAGCAATAAAATCCTCAAATAATGCAAAACAAGCAACACAATTTTTCGAACCTACTATTTGTCATCAATAGTTAGATTTGGGATTAGACTCTGCCTTTTAAATGTTAAGGATGTATTTTTAATTTATTCGCATATTAAGTTGGCAGAAACTTAACATTATCTGGACTAGTTGCAATTATTGAGAACTGACCAGTAGCAAGTTCACCAAATGTTGTTGCTACTAAGATCTATTTAACATCCGAGTCAAGATAAGCTCTGATGTGAAATTGTTCATTGTCTGCACCATCGTCATTTTCTTGAAATAAGTTGAACAATCGGTATATTAGATAAAAATATCCATTACAAAGAGTACCGTAAGTATCCATATTACATTCACCGATGAAAATGTAAAGACCGGATGTCTTCAGAGAAATATCAATTGCTTCATAAAAGTACTGGTATCTTAAATTTTCTGAACGAAAACATGTTGTTTGATTTTCGTTTAGCATACTTGAATATCTAGATACAATGCCGTACGATTCTGTTGTTATCATAGACACTAAATACAAGTAACATTCATCGACATCGAAAGTCGACTCGCTGGGCCCTAGACTGACAGTGCTGAGGAGAAGAAATGCATGGACAGGACAGAAAATCCGTTGTTTGTGCCAGTAGCTGTTGGCGATATTTTTAAACAGATCTGTAAACAGGGTGGGAATAAGTGAAACTGAAGTAAGAATTAGACGAAAATTAAAGGTTTCAAGTAAAAACACTAAAAGGGAAGACGAAAACTGACCCA